TTATGCTATGAGCCAGAAGGTCCAGGTAACCTTCTCGGGGGGGCCCACCTTGTTCTGGTTGTTTGAACCCCACCCCCCTAGAAGACCTCCCGCTGTCTTTGTTTTGATCTGACCCTGTGGAGGACCTGCTGTTCATTTTCCTTTTTTAAAAAAGAGCCTCATTCCAGAAACTGCCCCCCCTCCCTCGAGGTGACCCTGTCAATTATTATGACTGATGGCAGCGCCCCCTTCTGATCCACATGTAACCTGGAGGTCAACAGAATAACAGATAGTAAGAAGTACAGGTTAATTTGAAAAAAAAAAAATCGGTAACCAGAGTAAGAGCAGTGCCTCTGAAAGTGGAGGGAGCCGCTGTAGCTTGCAGCTCTGAAGGTGAGCGCATTCACGCATGTGGCCACCAGGGGGCAGTACAGGACTTGGGGTGACCGTAGCAGATGCACGCGGGACCTTGTCGCATAGGAAACCTGCTAGGAGCCAAAAACTTTGTTGAGCCACTTAGCCTTAAGCAGCTATTTATTCAGAAGTGACTAGGTAGCTAATGTAGCATGTTGTGTGTGTGTATGGGGGGTGGGGGGGGGGGGGGGGGGTAGGGGTAGTCAGCACAGGGGCCCAATCTGAGCAGTAGATCGTCTGCCTCTTTACACAGCACCTCTGCTAGGCATTCCTCAGTAATTGGCTTCCTATCGCTCTGGTTTCCCACAGGGTGGGGTGGGGTGGGGGGGGGGAGTAGCTGACTCTAATAAAGTCCATGTTTCGCCCTGGCCAGGCCTCCACTCAGAGACAGGGGCCGCCGCATATGGGGAGGAGAGGTTTAAGCTGCCTGTGCTCTGTGTTGGGTATCAGGGCAGGGGGTCCTTCTGGCCTCCATGACGACACGGTCCACTTCCACAATGTCCAGAACATTCAGCCTAGCGTTTCCCTGCTGTCACAGGTCGTCTCCTCCACAGGAGAGCTCACATAGCGGCAATTACTTACACCATTGCAGTCTCTCCAGATCCTGTGGGAAACTTTTCCAGAAGCCAGCAGAGCGTTGGTCAGATAATGCGTGTCTTGTGGCCCTGGCTTAGCTGGGGGGGGGGGGGTGCACAGGGGTAAGGGGAACAGGAGGAGGAAACGAGTGCGCCTTAATTACAGGAATCAGCCCGCAGCTGGCCATGCCCCCCTTTGATCGGGGCTTAATGAGGGCAGTCTGTACGTTTATAATCTGTGGTTCATTCATAAAATCCTCCCCCCATGACAATGTCCAATCCCCCCCCTCACCCCCATGTGGACAGAGATGAGCCAGGCAACTCCAGAAGTCCACACTGCCCCCCTCCCAAGTCAGAGCTGGCCTCTGACCTCTCCATTTCGGGTTCGTCTACATTCCTAAGCCGACTTCACCTGATTAGCCTCCATTGGGGGGAATAAAGTGAGTTCAGGTGTGCTCAGACCCAGCGCCTCGCAAACTGATCCCAGATCAGTTGATCTTGTGGTGGTGGGGGTTAGGCCTGGGGTAGGAGGGCTCTGTCACGAGGAGGGGGGAGACTCCGTGGCTGCTTTGTTGTCTGGAAAAATGCCCATTTGCAGAGTGGTGTTTGGTGGAGGTGGGGGTGGTCAGCAGAGGGTGGGGTGGCCCAGTCCGGCTCGGAGCACGTCCATGGCACATGTTCACGCCGCGTGCCAGCCAGCCTGGCGCTGTCTTTAATGCTTTTTTTTTTCCTAAAGAGTGCCGGAACGATTTTCACATTTCTGAGGGGAGACGCAAAGGCTTGCGGCGGTTTGGGCCAGTCCCATTACCTCAAGTCGCCGGGTTTCTGGAGCCGCTCTGGCCCAGTCCGTTGGACACTGGTCGGCACTGAGCCATCAAACACTGCCTTGGTGTATGAGCAGTTCCTGCAGACACAACCCTGCACACCTTTCGAACCCACAACCCCAAGGTCTGCCACCTGGTGGACATTTGATTCCGTGGGGCGGACTGGCCAGGGGTTCAAGGAGGCGGTGAGGTGGGCAGCCAAGTTACTGATTTGCTAGAAAAATTACCCACTTCCTCTATGTGTGAGGGTGTCCCAGAAAGGTGTCACTGTCGCCGCGGATACGGCCTTCTCATACGCATGCCCGTCTGCTGCCTTCTTTCATGACATGCAGCAACGGCGTTCCTTCCCGGTGCAGGAATCCTGACTTCAGCAGCAGCATAGCCACTAATTATTCTGGGAGAAGCGAGGCCTCTGCTTTCCCACAGGGGAACCTTCCGGAGCTTACTGTTTCCGTATGTTTGGCCTCAGCCTGTAAGCTCGTGCAGAGGATCCCGCGGCCCATCGCTCGACGGCAGGAATCCACTTTGGTCGGGCGGCTGAGTCACCAAGCAGTACCAGCGCGGCTATGCTAATGCTAACCTAGAGGGATCACAGGGTTCCGCGGCCTTACCCATGGAAAGGCAGAATTCCTGGCTTCCACTGGTAATATGCTCTAGAAATGGTCTAAATGGATACAGCGACGTTTCCCGTAACTTGAAGATTGTGTGCTTCCCTTTTAGAAGCTCATTGGCTGAGGTTAGTCTAACTGGTTAATGGATTCTGGTTAAAAATAGATGCAGGCCACTTGGCCTAGTTACAAATGCAGTGTACCAGGGCCACCAGGGCAACCCGGTTAAGGCCAAAGCCTCCACTAATTGAGTAATATCTTCACTGCAATGCCATAGCATTCACTGATTGGCTAACAGTTTCACTGCAGTGCCATAGCATTCACTGATTGGCTAACACCTTCACTGCAGTGCCATAGCATTCACTGATTGGCTAACACCTTCACTGCAGTGCCATAGCATTCACTGATTGGGTAACAGCTTCCCTAAGGTGTCAAGGAGACGTTCTGACAAGGCATAGCCAAAGCATTGCCGTAAAACCAGACCAAAACAATCGACTAGTTGGATCTGGACTGTCAGACATAAGCAAACTACTGCCTACACCAATCTTTAGAAACAATTCAATTCAATTTTATTTATATAGCGCATTATCACAACATTACATTGTCTCAATGCGCTTTACATTTCTGCCTCGTAAGGACCCCCCATTGAGTAAGCCAAAGGCAACGGTGGCAAGGAAAAACTCCCTAAGAGGAAGAAACCTTGGGAGGAACCAGACCCAAAGGGGGAGCCCATCCTCCAGGGGCCGGCAGATGAGTCAAACAAACAAGATGAAATGACTAAGCTAATACAGGGGTTGAAATATATGTCTCAATGCAGCGGCCGACCGGTGCAGGCACGTGGTGCTTGATGCACGATGGCAGGATTAATAGAGGCCCTGTGGTGCCTCGTCGGTCAGTGATGCGTGTGTACAAGCCCTCTGTGTGGGAAGGCCTTGGGGGGTGACAGGCTAATTGTCTTCCCGTTCCTCGCCATCTTCCCCACCTCCGCTGCTCTGCCACGGAGCCCTGTGACCCGACTTTTGGCCCCTTTGGGTGTCAGAGCGGGAATGCAGGATGCATCTACAGACGGAGGTGGGGATGCTTCAGGAGGATCAGCCTGGCATGAATTGTTTAACACGCCCCCAGCACTCCCATCATTTGGGATCTCCTCCATTTCATCCCTTCATTTTTGGGATGGAGAACCCATCAGTGGCACCACGTTTTGTTCTGTCAGCACAGATTTTTTCACGGTGGTGTTTAGTTGAACGGGCAGGAAACGTTTGCATGTGACTTCGATGATGAAAATGATGGAGGGATGATATTCGGTCTTCATGGAAACCTTAAACCAAGCTTTGACCCACCATTCTTCCGGACCACCCCATGCTGCCTCTGCGGCTCTGGTTCTGCCTCAATTCTGACCCAAACGAGAGACCGTGACATTCCCGCCATGTGGATCCCCCTGACTGTCCACAAGGCTTCTGCAATCTCCAGCGGAGCCATTTGGGCACCAGAAACATGGATTTCTAAGTAAATACTCCCAGATTTGGAAGAACATGTGTTTTCATGTCCTATCCCTGTTTCTTTTTCTTTGGTGTTTACTCAAAGCGTACCACAGAATTCCCTGCATGTTGTATCCAGCTTCTGAAGCTTGTATGCCTGCAATGTAGCCCTGGGGCTGGACTGGGCTGGGTGTGTATGTGATAAGTCACAGCCCCTGCTGTTGCTGATGATGATGAGGTCCAAGCCCAGGTCAGGAACACTGGAGAGCAGGAGGACACTCAGACATGATCATGTGGGGTTTGGGGGGCACGTCATGCAGGAACAAGCTGCTGACTGTGTCCTGGGGGACTGAGGCCGGTGAGCTAGGTGCATGTACTGGGGAGGGGGCACAGGGGTACTCGCAAAGTGGATTAGCTCCAAGGGTGCCCCCTCCCCAGTAACTCACCAATTCAAAACATAAAATAAAGTTGGCCCCTCTATATGAATTATGGGCCCCTCTTATGGCCCCCACCCAAATCCTAGAATTACAGCTGAGCTGAGCAGGTGAAGCCCTGATTATAGTCCTCCACCTTCACTTTGCGGTTAGAAAGGGTGTGTCCCTTCAGCTGTGACCAAGATGGCCGCTAATCATCGCTAATGGCCAGATCATCTGAGAAGGTGGGAGGTCAGGGATCAGAAAAAAGAGCAGGAACACCCCCTTATCCCTCCTCCACTCCCGTCCGCTGATGGGAATGAATCATATGGGAGAAGCCCATATGTGTGTCGGTCATGGTTCTCCCGACCCGATACTGAATCGCTCATGTCAGGGGGGCCTGTGATCTATCCAAGGTGCTGGGGGCAGCACAATTCTGGTGTACAGTCTGAGGAGTTAAAAACAGTGTGTGCTGCTTATGATGCGCGCCTCTTTGTTCGGGCGTCTGTTATGGTCATCCAGACAGTTTTTGGACCGCCCCAGAAGATGCAGCTCGACGCTGGGGTCTGATAGACTCACTCTTCTTTTGTTTTGTTCTAGTTTATGGTCAATCTATCATATTAAAGTGAAAAGCAAGGCCATACCCCCGGGCATGTGTGCCAATGCCGTGATCATCCTGTGTTCATTCCACTGACTCTCTGCCCCCCAGCTATTCCGGACGAGTGGTGGGCAGCGGCCTGCAGGCCCAGAAGCTGAACCCAGAGATCAAGGTGCGCAGCGCAGACCCGGTTCTGCTGGAGCTGAAGGAGAAGCTTGAGCTCTTTAATCAGGTAGGTCCTACCCGGCCCGACCCAAACCGGCCCGTCGGTGCCTTCGCATTCCCTGTCCAGCCCCGGCTAACAGCTCCTATTCCTCATACTTTTATCCTCTCAGAGGAGTGATGCTGCCCCGGCTTACACCAAGCAAACGATATTATATATCGCAACTAAGGAATTTGTCCTGTAACATGCACTCATGCCTGTCGGGGCCGTGGTGAAATGGGCAGCCATCTTGTCCTGTGAATCCCAGTAAATGTGAATAGAGAGGCAGTGATATAGACAACGTGTCAGCTTTTCTGAGGACAGGGGACCAGCAAGGCCACCTGCCATGAGCTCGCAATGTTACTGGAAGACAGTAAACACCCGGGATGTTCCGCAGTGCAGGCGGCACTGACACAGAGCACTCCGGAAGCTGTCAGGCAAGCTGAGCTCAGATAGCACCCAGATTCCCCGTCAGTGTTCCGAAAGCAGCAGCGTATCTGGCCGTGGGCTAAATACCCATCAGCCCCTGTACCCACCTCTTCCACCTGCCCCCCCTGCCACTTGCCCATCTGACTTTGAGTGACGACCCGAAGCCCTCCCCCCTTCACACGGCATTGTGGGAGCGACCTTGCCTGTAGACGCAGGCTGGAGCAGGGACTGTGTCTGGGGGAGGGGATGTGGGAAGGTGGGCTAGTTCCTGAGGCATGAGTACACACCCACACACACACACACACAGACCCACACAGACCACCCCCCCCACACACACACACACGCTTTCTGTGCAGCTGTGGCAAGCAGGGCAGGTCCCATCACCGTGGTAACACTCAATATGCCTGCCTCTGTTCCATTTGTTTTTATTTTGTCTTTGAGACTCAGGCATGAATAGAGAGTTTGGGTTAGAAGCTTCTTTTCAGGCTGCACCCAAATGATTGGGTGATGTCAGTAAAACTCCTTAATGCCCTTTTAACTGCTATAGTGGGATAAGGCATTGCTATCGACCCTCTTGTGGTGGGTGGGTTAAATACCACAATGAAGTTTGATGCCAGAATACTGCTGGCCTGGAATACTGGGACACCCCCCCCCTCCCCAAGGAAAACATAAATATGCTCCAAGGCTGAAAAAATAACACAAACGCAGGCATCTCTCTGGGATCGTATTTTTTGCTATCTGGCCACCCAGCGGATTTTAACATGTGTGTTGAATGTGAGACCACCCTCCCCCCCAATCCAGCTGTTTTTGGTGGATCATGCTGTTAGCCACTAGCTGTTAGCAAGCACACAACTACTACGCCTTAGCACTGCCTTGGATCATGGTGTTAGCCACTAGCTGCTAGCGCTCACACAGCTACTGTGCCTTAGCACTGCCATGTATCGTGCTGTTAGTCGCTGCCTGTTAGCGGTCACACAGCTACTGCTCCTTAGATCTGCCTTGGATCATGCTGTTAGCCACTAACTGTTAGCCGTTAGCACAGTCATATTGTCTCAGGTGTTTTTATACCATGCTGACAGGTTTGTTTTATGTACAGCAGGGGTAAAACAAGCAAAACAATTTTTCTTTTTTTACTTTATTAAACAGTGGTTTATTGAACGTAGTGTATGAATGTTTTTCTTAAGTAAAAAGTCCCTGTCAATACTGCTGCAACCTACTAATAAAAAACTAAAATGTACTTAAAAGTAAATGAAAATAAATATTCTCTCAAGTAAATAAAAATAAATATCCATTAAGGTGCATAATTAGAAAATTAACTGTACCTGATCTGTACTGTATTCAGCTTCATATTAGAACCGTGCAACAGAAATATTGCCTCAAAAAATAAAAAGCATAACAAAATAAATATCCATTATTGTCATGATAATAACAACCGGAGAAGCAGCACATAAGCCTTGGGGTTGGGTAACGTGGGATTTATTCGGGTCGAAAACACTCGGAAACATGTCACACAACGTTAATGACTGGACTGGGGAAACATACTCGAATGCGGACTTAAATACACAGGACTAATTAACAACAATGAGAAACAGCTGGTAACACGGGGATTCCACATGAGGTAACGAGGGGCCGTGGCACATAGGAGGATCGGACAAGCAGGGCATGACAATTATGGTGCAGCTTTTAAAAATACCTGTCCTGCACTTGAATTAACATTAACTTCCAGCTTCACATCAGGAAGTACACGCTCATGCGTAGTGGCATGGCTTCATCTGCCCCTTTCCGACTGTTGCTGGAGGGAAACACACAAGGGTTCCGGATTTGCTGCATTTGTTCGGCACATATGCATACTAAACAAATATGTGTTCCATTACACTTTCTTTAATGAATCACTTCTTACACAATTTATTTTTGCGGAGAACATTAATGATGCTCAGTTTGACAACTTTCCATGCGAATGGAATGGAAAGGTCGCGACCAGCTTCCCAGCAGATTCAAACTTATTTTTTGGTGTGGTAGGGGAAATGATGTGACTAATTCTGCACTGACAGATGTTCTAACATAAATCATATGTCAAATACCATTCACGTGTTTAATGTGTACCTAGGTACTTACACCCACACAAGGATGTCAGCTAAGTAGCTGGTTCTTCAGTGTGACTCGGGACACATTCGTGTTCATACTGTTATAAGAATGTGGCCATATGTGTCCCAGACCACCTCCAAATGCAATTTCAGTGATTGGAAGTTGATGCGTTTTGGGTGCGTTCACACCTGTAATTAACACTGTCCACTTGTGATTGGATCACCAGGGATGCATGTTAATACCAGGTGTGAACAGGGCCTAAGAGTCAGTCAAGAAAATGTCATCACCCCCCCCAACAAAATTACTAAGTATGGCTCTGATGAAGGTGACACAAGTGCCTGGTTACAAGCTGCGACCTCCACATGTCAGCACGTACCGACACAATTTTCAAGCCTTGACACAAACTCACAGCATTTCTGGAGGGTTCTGTCTTCTAAGCTAATCACCACGTCCTGAAATTCAGGCCATTAATGTCTGCTATATTGCAGGTGGGCCCCAAGCTGGTAAACAAGCTGGATTTGAGGGGATCAACACAGCAGCTCCGTGACGGAGAGTTGCTTCAGACGAGGAGGAATCACCGTGAAGTGAATGAATGCGAGGCTAAGTGGGAGGCTTTGGGAGAAACAACGTCACACTATAGCACTGATCGATTAGCTGCCAGGCCGGGCCCACCCTCCTGAGTGCTCGTGTCTGCAGAGCATAATTACAGCATGGTATACACTGTTCTCCGAGCAGACCCTCTTACGCGGAGCGACAGACGCGCCCACAGCAGGGGAAGCAGAATCATGCGTTTGATCGACTGATTCAGGCATGGTGGTGTGGAGGGCTTTCATCCCGTCTGACGTGAGTGTTTAGTGTCAACGCTCAGAAATAGCACTTTTATCTAGCCCACAGCTGTTTGAAGTGCATCTCCATGTTTCACGGTCATATTCTCTGGGCTGACACACGGCCATTAGCTTCTAGTGTCTAGCACTAGTATCCGAGTATGGTTCTCTTTGACCTATATGCTGGCCTGACTGGACCTCTGTCCAAGATTCTGACGCCGTTACCCATTCAGCCGGATGGTTCAAACTGAGGACAGCTGAGGAGTGGCTGCTGCACTTGTCACTCAGCTTCTCCTGAACACTGTGATTTACCAAGGTCCACCAATCATATATTAGGGTGCGATAAAAACCCCACCCCCTCTGCATTTGTAAAACCAAGGGAAGCACTGAAGCCTAAATGTGCTTTGAAAGGCTCATGTTCTTATGAAATATGGTTTCAAATGTCTTACACGGTGGACACTTTCTCACTCTAAGCAGAAAGATGAGATTCACTGACGTCACTGGGGGGGGGGGGGGGGTCATTTGGAGACCTGTGACCACCCTGAAATCCTGCAGGAGCGTCAGAAGCATTTTGAATGTGGTGGGGACACACTGGCATTAAAGTAATATTTTATATTAAATGTGGGGGTGTCCGAATAATTATGAGATGATGTTTCTCTGAAGGGGCAAAGATAATATCAGCTTTATAGATCCTGGGGTGTGGAGTGAGCTGTGTAGTCCAGCTGCATTACAGTAATGACTAACTCCCTGTCTGGGGAGGGGGGGCAGCCATCTGCCCCGTGTCAGTTTGCTGAAGCATTGCTTCACTCGGTTCTTACGCAGCTCCCTGGATGACGATCCCAACCCTGTGGTCAAACTAATCAAGCCCTTCCATTGGCTCCTTGACCACCAGCTCCGCCCACCTGACTCCACCTCAACAAAAAGTCACCAGTACTCTAAGAAATGTTTTGGGGTGAGGGGGCTTCCCAAGGCTTAGGGGGAGGGGGTTGTGGTCTGTGGCAGGAGGATGATGAGACTGCCTCTCTTCTCCTCTTCCTCTCATCCTGGCCAGTCACATTCTGTTACGTATCTCCTGACCCCCCCCCCGCGTGCCACCCCACCGCTGCTTGCAGCCATTGATTGACTGCTTCTAATACCGATTTTAAATAGGGAGCATTTAATTGCGCCACACAATCAGGGAGAACAATTAGCCAGGAAGCTTTGATCGGGCCGGCGTGGTCTTTAACCGGGATGGTGCATAATTAATTAATTACTCCATCGCTAATTAAATGGCCGTGGGGCTCTGTGGGGGCTCTGTGTGATTAAATGCTTTTTTCCCCTCACCGTGTCAGTTAATACCCTGTCAGCAGTAATAGGACTTCAGCTGAAGCTGTTCTTTGTTCTCTGATTAGGCTGCAAATACCTTTATTAAATTAGCAATTTCACTGCTGTGGATTTAATTACGTAAGCGAAGGCCAGTGCGTGCTTATCTCACAACACACACAGTAGCCGGGCTGGAGTGGGCCAACTGCTTTCCTGGGGGGGACACCAATTATATGGGCATTTAAAAGGCGAACAGATCAGGATCCTCCAGCGGCCTGTGGACCAATGCATCCCACCCCCATCCTGGTCAGGAGAAATGCAGCGTCCCCTTCAGGAGGCTCAGAAATCATGTGCTGGAATGTAGGTGTCCGGCCAGCCTGTTAATTTCCATGTGTGCTTGTCAGTTCTCCCCCCGTCCTGGATGGACCAGGCTGGATGGAAAGGTCCCTAAGGAAAATGTCTGTTCGGCTCAGACTACATATAAGGCTTGCCCAGCACTGTGACATTACTTCCTCTTATGACATCACCGCCCAAGGCCCATGTAGATGTTCGGTCGTTGTCAGTTATTCGGGCTACATGGTGTTGATGCGGATTCTTCATGGCCCGTAGTCTTTAACACAGAGGAGCATGTGAATCAAGCATTTTCTAAACAAGACAAGCCGCCGTGGAGTCATTTGGTTAGTTTGGGTCCATAAAATAAAATATTGGAGCCCAGTGTTGAACCTAATAGAGATTAATCCATAATATTAACTAGCCGGGCATTTTGAATCCCTCAGTGAGGATGCTTATCTGTCCATCTTGTATGTTTTCAGCAACACCAGGATGCTAGTGCTGTTAGCATAGATCAGAATTAGCTGTAACTACCCAGAATGTGTTGCTGGCCTTATGCTGTGGATTAGTGAGGGAGCGCCTTGACAAGTATGTACTTCAGTGTGAAGGAGAGGGTGGGGGAGCATTTAAAGATCCATGAAATGGGGGCTGTTCATGGAGAGAGCATGAGGAGCAGCTACAGCAGGGGTGGCCGGTCTTACCTGCAAAGGGCCAGTGTGTTTGCTGGTCTTTGGGGTAACCGTTAGGTCAGGTGTTCAAACCCAGGTGTGAGGACTGCTCAGCCAATCAGTCCTCTAATTAGTAATCTGATTAGGGAATTGCAGTGAAAACTTGCATACACAATGGAAATTTCTGGATAAGACTGCCCACCCCTGAGCTACAGGCTCTGCACGTGGTCTTCCTCCCCAGGAAGACATCGGAGGATGAGGATGGATGTGATTCCAGCAGGCTCGACATTATACTGCTTCACCAACAGAGCGGAGCACAGAGCACGGCATTCCACTCCAATACAGCAGGTGGCGCAGCGCTTATGAACATTCGTCCCAGTCAGAGCCCCTCTGTACAGGACTGTATTTAACCTGGAACATTCAGATGAAAAATCAAGGTGTATGAAAAAGTGCTGGGCTGCGAGAAACCACCTGCTGAAACAGATATCTCTGTTGAGCGGGATTCTGAATAAAATTAGTGCGTGACCCCCTCCCCCCCCGCTCACCCTCCCACACATCCATTAAAGCAGATGCCCCAACCTTTGGAAATGTAAAAACACTTGGGGAGCCCATTGAGGCGTCAGGCTGCTAATCAGGCCCATTAATTTCACAGCAAATTCCCCGCAATCTCACGCCGGCTCATTCGCTTTGAGGAGTGCTGACTCGTTCGTGATAATTAATTCTCCCCCCAAACGTCGGGCCCGATGAGTCGCTCAGCATCTGCTCTCATTCTCGATCTGATTAGCAAAGTCCTACTCCTTGGACAGGAGGGATGGGGGGGGGCTCCAGAATCTTATGAAACAGTCATTTTTATTTTGAGGATGAATATAAGGATGACTTGGTCTCTTAAGCGGATTGAGTGCTTGCTGATGGTGTTTGCCCTGATTGGCTATACACACTAATGGCAGAGTGGAAACCCGGCGCTCAATTTGATTGTGTTGAGGTGCAGCATGCACTGTCCCCCTCTGTCCAGAGGTGGCACTCTCATTCATCCAAAATCAAAACCAGACAGAAGCTGGACGGAGAGGAATTGCAGCCTTCAGGTGTGTTTGTGGACAGGTTACCATGGAAACCGACAGCTCAACACGGCTGAATATTGGCATGGAGATGTAAGCGAGGTGGTGACCTCAAGTGGGGTCATTTTTGTCTCTGCTCTTTCAGTTTGGAAAGTTTAGCCTCGCTGTTTCCCGTGTGTGGGAAGGAGTTTGTGCCTGTTGAGTCCTGACCCCCCATGACCTTCTCTCTGCAGGAGATGGTTGGTGAGGCAACATTGGTGCGGAGCAGCGGGGTGTGGCTAGAGGCAGGCAGCGGGGTTCCGGACGCCAGCGGCGAGTGTGATGACGAAGACGGCTGCCAGGGCTCTGGATTCAATGCCGCTGCAGGTGAGTGCCCTCCCACAAACCTTAGCTGTCTGCCAAGCTCACCATCCGTCTCGATCACACCCTCAGCTCAGGGAGCTGAAGATACGGTCACTGTGGCAACGTGCTGAGTTCCCCATTCAAGCTGTATGTACACGTGAGTTAAGGTCCTGGCCATTAAACACACGAGGATCAGCCTGTCCACACCACCAATAATCTACAGCACAGTTTATTCTATACTCATTTTCTCCCTGTGAGTCTTTGCCGTGCCATTCCCTGTAACATTTACCGCTTGAGAGCTGTAGGTAACTACAGCTATCATTCAAACATGGGAGCTCTCAGCTCCTGGTTAGCATCCTGCAGAGACTGTGACCATGCCTTGGAGGAATGATCGATGTTTTGTTGGGGGGGGTGCAAAGTCATTACCCCACTGACCCATGTGGCTGGAGTGTAATGGGCAGGAAACCTGCCTGGAGGGTATCCTTGGTGCAGCAAGGGACCTTTGACCTTTGACCTGGAAGCGGTTCTTTATACCGCCTCTCAGTGCAATGTGGCCAGTGTCTCAGGCTAATGTCTAGCCCATGCAAGTCTGTATTAATGCTTTGAAAAGGCCACTGTCCCCGCCCCCTGTTGAAGATGGGGGCATTTAACAGTCAAGGAGTATGCTCTGTGAGTTCCAGCCCCCCTGCCCCTGAATCCAATTAGAGGTGCAATTAGGTGAAAGTCCGGGTCTGACAGGACGAGCTGTTCTTATGGCAGCGATCGGGTCCAACCACTGCACACAGGACAGTTAATCTTTCAGGGAGATAGCGTGTCAGTGGAAGCGCGGGGAGTGGGGGTGGTGAGTGGAATGGAAATTAAGCACGAGGGGTTTAATTACTGGGAAGCTGCCTTTTGTGCCCATAGCACGTGCTAAACAAGCACTAAGCTGCAAGTCTCTGGGTCTGTCTGATATAGAGAGAAAGAGAGAGATCGCAAAGTGTGTCCTCAGGCAGAGACGGACCTCTGACACATGCCCTAAGGCATGAAGCACATTCTGCACTAGCTGGTGTGTCTGCACGCACACGCACACACACGCACACACGCGCACACACGCACACACACACAGAGATTAAGTATCTACCCTCCATTTATTTCTATAAGCATCACCCTAATCCTATGACAACCTTAACCCCTATCCAGCCCTAACCTTAACCATAAGTAACCAAACAAAATACTTTTGGCTGTTTTAGTTTTTTTTTATATAAAACTGTGTTTCCTTTTGTGGTTCCAAAATACCAAAAATAATGTCGCCACAAGGTCAAAATAGCAGGTCCCCACAATGTAATATATACATGCCCAAACAGACAGACAGACACTTGTTACCTCCTTCCTTCCTGGGTGTCTATTTACCTTCCCAGCCAACTTAGCTGTCCTCGCTCCGGGTTGAAGACCCCAATAGTGAAGCGATTATCACCAGAGCAGTTAATCGCCTCCCTTCCTGGCCGTCCCCGCGGGAGGCATAGAGCTGCCGAAATGCTCTGGTCGCAGTTGGAGAGCTTTCAGGTGCAGGATCGCCTATGTAACAGCTTCTGGGGGGGGGGGGGGTTGTGGCTATTTCAGGTTTAAAGCTGTGGTGGGGGTATCATTAATCATTGGGCTGAGGGACTGGTTTTAACACTATTCTCACTGCATAGAGCGGAAAGCAAGCATCTTATCTGTGAAAAAGGGCCCGTTCATTTTATTACACTGTAAGTGTGTATCTTGCCACATGTGCTCATGAGCACAGCACTGTGTCATTTTAATTCCTGTCCTGCCGGAAATCACACATGTCAGGCAGACAATGAGCTTAAAACTGTCCAAAGACACGTTGCTGAACAGGAGCAAGCCCCCATGTGTGTCAGCCATCAAACATGGATGTGGAGCTGTGGCTGAGCCTCTGGACACTGTAGTTTCCACTGCCATCTCCATCGCGGGGTCTGATTAGCTTATTAACACCCAGAATCCCACTGAGGGCACATTTTAAATGAGCACAGACACACAGAGCAGAGTGAGTGTGATTACAGCACCGTCCCCATGAGAGCCAGCTCAGCACAGGCTGTGTATAAACAAAGCCATGGCCTTTAATCGAGGCCTCTCCCTGGGTGTGAAAATCTGTTTGTCTGTCTTGTGTATGTGTGTGTGTCTCTCTGTGTGTGTGTGTGTGTGTGTTTCTGTGTGTGTGTGTGTATATGTGTGTGTCTGTGTGCGTATGTACTCCCTCCCGTGTCAGTTGAGCAGTGGTGCCCCCAGCAGTTAGTATCCTCTGACCTTTTTAATTGGAGACCATGGACTTCCCCTTACCAGTCACCCCCCCCCACCCCGCACTCCTCTTTGTCAGTCTCCTCCTCAAAGCCTCAGCGCGCTTAACGAGGCGCTTGTCGACCAGCTAGTTTCTTATATTGGGGGGGAGGGGGTGTTGTTTAAAATGTAATGGGTATTGATTTCTGGTGTATCGTTCAGCCCCCCCCACACACACACACACACTTCTGCTGTCGTCCTCTAAAACCGAGCCGTTTCACTCTAAACCTTGCCCCAATAGCAATCAGGGCTGAGGACAGCTTCACATGGGCATAACGCCATGTGGTGTTTGTATCGCCACTTCAGACTGTCCAAACCTCCTGCCTTCATCCTGCACCATGTGGCTGTGAACAGGGCGCACCCTACAGGTGGGTTATCAGGTCAGAGGAGTGCAGTGGGGGGCAGTTTGACATCTTGGGAGTGAGGAAAGTAGCTTTACCACGATGAGGGAGCATTTTTCTGTGCCTTCTGTGTGAGCGGGTGGCAGCCCCGCCTGGCAATGTCACACGTCACACCTTATCGGGTGACGCTGATGGTTCAGTGGACGGTGACCACAGCATATGGGCTGATCCGCTCCAGGGCCTTGTTTCGCGCACGTGTCGGCCCCCACCCAGCCAACCCCCTGCCAAGTCTTCTGCACCCCCTTACCTGTGTCCTCCCCCACCCAACTCAGGGGCAGAATGCCAGATAGCATCCCCCTACCCCCCCGGCGTCAGCCTTGCCTAGCTTGGTTTCGACCACCTGGTACCCTGGTATATAACAAGTTATACTACGGGACCGTTGAATGCTTGAATCTGATTGGCTGACGAACGTTCTGAGGTGTGCAATTATTTTCAGGGAAACGCACGGCGAACGTAGTTCCAGGCAGCTCTCTTGACCGCATTACAGTTCCATATCACTTCGCATAGTTAACTGTAATAACGGAAATTAGCATACAGTACCTATACAGCACACAGGACTAACAAAAACAACAACATGACAGACGATTTTCTGCCATTTTCGATGTCTAATTTTACAATTAACGGAAACGTGCAGTTTAATTTCAATAAATAAAACATGTAGGTCTAGAAAAATTAAGTTGTAGCATGAATCGAAAATTAAACATAATACAGCTGGTAGGCCTGCTGCATGATTTTTTCCCCGTTATTATTGCAGGTACAACAAATAATATTGATAGCCTATGCCTCAGGACTTTTGTGTTTCATTTATTATTGCAATAAATAGAAAAATGCAACGAATGAATAAATAATTAAATGAATAAATATACATGCACAAGCTTTTCTGTCTCATTACTGCAATCACACGTCCTTGCACACGCACACTACGGTTACACACTCACACAAAAACGTGTTGTCTTAAAGCAGACTTACAGTTTAGAGACGGTGCTTCAGAACACTGTTGAGGGACACACAGAGGTAGCCTAATTCATACAAGCTCTCTCTCTCTCTCTCTCTCTGTTTCTCTTTCTCTGTGTCTCTGTCTCTCTCGCTCTCTTTCTAATAACTTCATTATTAACTGCATTAGTCTGCTATCAACGGCTCAAGCCTCCATTGCTAGCTTTAAAATGGTGGCCGCATCACCACCTCGGGTGTGCATTATTTTTCTAATAATTCAACGGCCCGTCGTCAATTATTCTTTACGTAGTTGACGGTGTGTGTCAATATAGAAATGTAATAATGTCTCCCTTCCGCCAGTGGCTATCTGCCCCCATACCCATGCCCCTCAGCTCTGGCACTTGGCCTTCACTTCCTCGTTCCCCTTTCTCTTGCTCTGTTTCTCCTCCCATGAAGAATATGTGTCTCTGCACACCGTGTCCAGCAGATGGCGTGACGGTTATGGGTCTTCTGTTCCTTCAGTAGGTCGTTAATCTGTAAAAACGTAGTGTAAACCCGTACGTCTGATACTGGAGGAAATGTGATGGAGGGAGAAATAATGATTAATAATATGAGTGAAAAGGGCAGGAGGCAGACTGGCACTAGGATTGGGATGGGGGGTATATAGGAGTGTATATATATATATATATATATATATATATATATATATATATATATATATATATATATA